CTCCTCAGCTATGAAATCTCCCATTAAAAATTTTACGCAACAGTAAGTAAAACGCAAACGTATGTGAAAGCTGACTATGAAACCTTGGACGGTCTCTGCATAGGCAGAAAACAACGCCCTTAAATTTCAGCCTCACAGCTCTTCCGGTTCCGGAGATAATAGCTTTCCCCATCAAAAATTTCGCGGCGCCATGCAAGAGACAAAGCTGAATATGAGTCTGCGAGGTTGATTGTGGGTAAGGTATATTCTCCCACAATTTTAACTTTCAAACTTTAATGGCTTTCGAGACTGTAATTTTTCTTCACGGAGCCGTAAAACCCAGGCTTAATTGAAAGCTGAATTTGAATTTATGCGGTTCCACGTGGGCAGTAAACATTCTCGTCAAATCTCAGCTTCCTAGCTCTCGTGATTCTCGAGATAATAATTCCCCCGCCAAAACTTTCGCGAAGCCGTAGGCCGTACGCAGTACCCAAAGGTACATGAAGGTTGAATTTAAGTCTGCGGGGGACATTTCACTAAAATTTCAGCTAGCTAGCTTCATTGGATCTCGCGTTGAAATTCCTGTATAAAATGCATTTGGAACACACAGACAGGACCTCGACAATGTGCGTTTTGTGCAACTGTTGCAGCATGAGACGCATAAGAACCAGCCACTCATTGCAACTGTATCCGATTACATAGAAAAATACATATGCTTTATTCTTTTTTACCATATTCTTTTGACTGCACACCAACCTCCAGGATTTTCAGATTCCCTCCAGAACCACGGATAAGCCATAAGACAACAAGCCACGATATCGGTACCAAATTCCTCAGGCGCTTTCAAGATTTCGATCAGTCGACTTCTCACTTCCAAATGGTTTGTTGCATCGAAGAAAGAATGCCGTTGTACTGAAAATCCAAGCTAAAACGTGCTGGAGAATAATAAAGAGAAGAATTAGTTCTCTGGCTTTCGCATTTTACCTATCCCCAGCGAATTTATGTTCTCTTAAGCCAAAGTTAGTACCACTGATTGAACTGCATCAAAGTTTGCGCCCGCAAATTCGACTTTTGCTATTATCCGCGTATGCGAAGCATTTTATAGCTTCTCTACATGTACAAGTTCCTGAGAAAGCGCCCCACCTGTGTTCCTACGAAATTCAATATGCGAAAACCTTTGGCATTTCTCAAACACGCAAGGATCGGTTGTCCTTTTCGGCCGAGCACTGTGACTTGCATTTAAAAATTTTTGCAAATGTGAATTAAACAGATGTGGGAGACACGTCTCGTCCACTTCTAAGAACATTAAATAGAAGCTGGCACGCCTTTTCCAGGCTCTTTTATGATGCAATACGTCAAAAAATTTTGCCTTGTTTTTGTGAAATGCGTAAAACTCATCCCATTTGAACACTCACCTTTCAGCGTCACTTGCAGCGGCATTCGTTTACTGCATATATTTGCATAGAACTCGAAAACCTTGCGCTCTAATTCAGCAGATTCCCTCGCAGCAATCACTCGTGACATAAGCGTGCCAACCGTCGGCATAATCCATAAATCGAACAGTGGCACATCCGAAATATCGCCAAAGAAATTCAACATATGATCGAAGTCACAGCTGAAACAGTGAAAAGTCGAAAAGTCAAAAACAGGAAGAAGCTAGAATGAGGGATCGACTACTGAAATCAGCAACAAGGACCCAAAAAACTAGTGAAACAGACTGCCCGAGATATAAGATAACCACGATAGGAAGTTGCCTAATTAAAACATAAAGCTACAACTCTCCATCTCTTCAAAAAAAAAAAAAAAAAAAATGATTAATAGGTTTAAAAATCAGAATCAGAGATTAATGCGAAGCCGATAAATTGCGATTTTTTGAGATGCTGAAGATAAATGGAGTAAGAATTTTTGTACACCACAAGGATTTTACACGAACCTTTGAGCACAGTCCACAAGTGCACGTACCGATGATATGATAAGCGTTTGCGAATCAGTTTCACCGTGGAATCTAAAAGATTATCAATTATTGCATACAGATTTGCCAGGAATACTGCTCCACTACAACGCAGTTAACACAAGCAATTTAATAGGGCAATGTACGCTCGGCTGAAATAGCAAAGGCAAGAAAAGTGGGCATGCACGGGGGAATATTGCAAAAAAACCCTTCACGAAAAAAGTGGTGATGAATGCTTACGCTCAGAGAACGTACGCTATCGATCAGGGAAAGCAATGGCGAAGTATCGGCAGGGGCAGAAATACAAATATGCATTTTCGGGTTTGGCAATCCAAACAAACATATGCTGTAAAACGAACGACCCGGCGGCTATACAGACAGACCCTGTTATAACCCAAAATCAAGTACGACTCAACAGCCAAATTAGCCAGACACACATATTTAACCAGATATATAAACCCATCAACACTCACTTTCTCGACTCCTCTCCTCTCTCTCTTTTCTACTCCCTTCCCTTCTCAAGCGGAAAGACTAGGGGATGGGTGTTCCCCGAATATATTTGTAAAAAATGCAAGGAAAAACTAGAGTTTTCTCTAATTTGCATTTCTTGAAAAATAATCCAAGAAAATGTGTATTTGTAATATTCATAGAGCTAAACGAACTTTATGATTGCCAAGCC